ATATGTATTTTTTATTTATAGGTGAAACACATTACTATACAAAATATAAAATAATTGCAATGAATATACACAACCAAAATTGACATTTCGTTACTATATGTTTATTTCATCTCGCGTACAACGCGGGTATTATCCTAGTTAAAATAGTAAGATAGAGTGCCACTATACTTACTTTGTACTCCGGTTTAAACCCAGTTTAATGAATGAAATCATTAATTTTTGATTAAAAAAAAACAGTCATATTAATTTTACGTTTGGCTTGTGTCTATAACTGCTTCAGGTTGTCTTTTCTGAACTGCTTCAGGCTGTCGTATGACTTGAACTGCTTCAGATTGTATTTTCTGAATTGTTATGAGTTGTCCTCTCTGATCAGCCTTTTTTCTAATATATTCAAGCAATCTCTTAACCTCCTTAATCATGTCGTTTATGAATTCTCTATCGGCCAGACTGTCATAACGCAAATGAGAAGAAATCAATCAATAGAAATTTCAATTAAATTTCCCCTAATATATAATTTAGAACTCTATATACATTACATTTTCATTTACCTTTTAGAGATTAATAAATTTTTGTAATTTAAAAACAAAAATTATTTTAATTTTGTCTAAAATTTAATATATATTTTTTCTTATATTTCGAAATTTTATGGATCTTCTTTCGATTTGTTAAGTTTGGTATGTTCTTAGTTTTTTGGATTTTCATAAAAAAACTGTTTTTTATGAAAATAATTACAAAGTGATTCCCAAATTGATAAATATTTATTGAAAACACCAATTTGTTGTTTTTAACATGTTTACATATATTTGGTGTATGTCACCATGTATTATATAATAGTTTGTGTAGTTTAGAACATATTTTTATATTTGAGATGGTTTGCAATATATTAGCCAATACTTGGTGTAGTTAAGAATGGTTTTTTCAAATTTTAAATCTAGAAGCTTATAATGCACATATAGGATTAACTGTAAATCATTGATCCAATAACTCTTATATCCAATTAATTAAAAAAATATTCATAAAAAAAATACTAAGAGGTCAAACATTGTTTTTATTTGCCTCTACCTTGCAAGTTTTTGATCCAATAACATTATTTTTGAATGAGGTAGAGAAGAAATGGACTTTCTGCAACAACAAGGGATTCGAGTTCAAGTAAGTGTCGAGTGTGGGAGAGACAATAGCAGATCATAAAATTCTCTCTATGATGGCTTCATTGGCTTGTGTTGAAGACAAAATGAAAACAAGTGGTTTGGTTAATGGAGG